CGGGCAGGAGGTGGCACTTCCTGTGGCTGCTCTGTTTCCTCTTTCCTTTCTGGTCCCCCTCCTCCCTGTGTAGACACCCAGGTCTGTTGAAGGGGGGTTAACACTGTCCCAGGAGTCTGAGCTCTCTGCTCCCCCTTGGGGCTGCAGAACTCAGAGGAAAGCAAATAAAACCTGTCTGCTACAAGACACCATGCAGAGTCCTCAGTGTGCTGGGCCCAGGCCAGCCGGCCCCTCTTGGGCTTTCCAGTGCCAGCCACAAGGGAGCCTTTCCTCTCAGACACAGCGCCAGACTCTGGGCAAAGCTGTCCCCTGGGAAGGAGAATGCCTCGCTTTGCTGGCTGTGACTTTCTGAGACTGGGAACCCCAGCTCAGGTCTGCTTCTTAGGACAGAGGCTGTGGGTGGCAGGCTGGGGACACTGAACAAGCAGCTGAGCCTCTCTGGCCTGATTTATCACCAGCACAGTGAGACCTTTGTGTCACCCACACTGTCACACTCCAACCCCCGGATGGCTACACCCTGTCATGGGGCTGCCAGCACATGAGTGCACAATAAATGTCACAAGGAAAGAGGCTGCAGAGCAGGGAAATAGGAAGGAAAATATGGAGGCAGAGTGGGCCAGCTGGGTGCCCCCACACTCAGGGTCTCTGACTTGCCCATCCGAGACCCGCAGGGGGCCTTGAGCACATCCTGCCCCCACCCCATGGTCCTGTGCATTCGAGGAACCTTAAGTGTTGGCCCGATAACTGTATTGCTTCTACTCATGTGTGCATATGAATACACAGACACACGTGCACAGACAGATACACGCATGCACATGCATGTACATGCACATGGGCACACACAGTGCATGTACAAATACACATCACATATGTGCATGGGCACAGATACCTGGGCACATCGCCTTGTTCTCTGGGCTGTACCTGGGAAGGGATGCAGCTCAGGGGCCCCTCCAACCCTGGGTGGAAGCAGGCGCCCTAAACACTGGGCTGGGAGGGGTCCTTCAAGTCACCCCCTCCTGCTGCCTGTCCCTTCTAAAGGAGACACTCTCCTCAGTCTCCTAGTCCAGCAGAGCTCCAGGTCAGCCCCCTCCCTGTCTCCCAGGCTCTCAGCATCCTAGACCCCCAGGCCAGCAGCTCTGCCTATACGTTCACTCAGGAACTTCTCGCCCTCAGCTCTGTCTCACCTCAGGAGGCCCCTCTGCCCCTTCATGATGGTGGCCCCTGCAAAGCCCACAAACGGGGGCCATGCAGAAACTGCACATGCTCAGGGTGGGCCAGCAGTGCTGCCCACCAGCTGCCATCTGCTCAGGGTCGCCCCTCGTCTGGCTGTAGTGCCTGGACGCTTCAGTGCCTCCCTGAACACCCTGGTCTCCATTGCACTTTTCTATCTGGCCCTGAGACTGTCACCTCCAGTGGCAGGTCACTATACCTGGCCCCTTCAGAAGGTGCAGGTTCCCTGGGGCCTGGGTCTACGCCCCAAGGCCACTGCCACCCTCCAGCCAGAAGCAACAAGGCAGACAACAGCGCCATAAATACCACACTTTATTACACGAGTGAATGGTGGTGGATGGAGGCTGGAGGGGTTACTGTCCCTCACCCACTAGGAGAGGCCACTCCAGAACACAGCGCGCCCATCCCACGGACAGTGCCCGTCCCATGGACAGTGTGGCTGCCCTGTGCACAGGCACACCCCCTCTAGGGATGTGAATGGAGCCTCAGCAGTGAGAGAAAACTCAGGAAGATCCGCCTCAACTGACCCGGGCACCTTCAGTCTCCCCTTCACTGTCATCCCTGGGCCCTCCAGGGAGAGCGGCCTGCTCTGGACGAGAGAGGGGGTGGTGGGAGGGGCAATCACTTCCACCAGTGGCTCTGGGCTCTCTGGGTGGGGTGGAGTGCTCAGGGAGCAGGCCGGCCAAGGAAGGGTGAGACCTGAGCACACGGTCTGTCAGCTCTGAAGTGCTCCCCCGGCCCGAGGGCTCCGTGCCCCTCAAGGGGCCTAATGCCAGGTGCTCCCTCCTGGATGTAGGAGAATGCCCTTCTCCGTGGCCAAGCTGGCCACATGTGCAGTCCTGGCTCCGGCTGAAGGTTCTGGGAGGGCCCAGCAGGACAGTGCTAGCCTAGGAGTGGGCGGGCCTGCAGGAGCGGCAGCAGGCCTTGCTGTAGTACCAGTGGCCGCACAGGTTGACCTTGATGGCCAGCACGCAGTTGGTGCCTGGCTGGTCCTGGCAGCTGTCATCTGGGGCAGAACAGAGAGGAGGGTATGGGCAACAGGCGGTGACCAGGGGGCCTTGGCTCCACAACACTCACATTTCCCTCCCTCCTCCACCACCCCCAGGCAGCCAGGGATGCACCGCAGATAGGTGGAGCCTGCTCCCCATTTCCTGCCCCACTTTAGTCCTTTGCCCATGGCTTCTCGCAAAGCAGGTGCCCTTCCCCAGACCCCCCTCCTGCCCTCTCACCATCTCCAGAGGTGCTGTGGAAGGGGGATCCCTCAAGATGGTGTATGGGGAGCCCCTCCCTGCTCTCACAGCTTGGGGGTCTTCCCATTCAATATGTCCACAGCAGAGACCTCACAGCCCTGCCAGGAGCCCAGCTGAGCCCTCTGCATCATCCCCTCCCCTGTCTTCCACATGACAGCTGGCTGCCACCTGGATCCCCAGCCTCTCTCTCCACTTCCAGAAGTCATGCAGGTAGAAAAAGGTTCCTAATTCTAAACAGAGGCCCCCTGGCCCCCAGGTCCCACCCTAGCTTCCTGGGCCTGTAGGTCCTGTCAGACGTCATTGGTCCCCTCCAATGGCCACTCCTCCCCAAGTGGCCTTTAAGCCCTGACTTAAGAAGCGCCCTAGGGGAAGTCATGAGGCTCAGCCAGCGTCCGCTCACCTGGTGGCTCCGTGGGGCACTGCTGCAGGTCACAGGTCTGCTTGCCTACGGGCTTCACCAGCGGGTCACAGCCCCTCACGATGTCTGTTCCCTGGTAGCACTTGACATCTCGCATTCTCACACCCACCCCACAGGTCTTGGTGCACTGCAGAGGGGAAGACAGAAGAGGGTGAGGCTTGCCAGTGGGCGGGGCTCCACAGGGGCCGGGTGTTGTGGGCGGGGCCAGCAGGGTGTGTGGCTCGCTTGTGGGCGTGGTCCCATGATGGGGAGAAGCTGTCCACTCTCCGCTCATCCTGCCACAGGTAGGGAGATAGGAGGGCAGACCTCCAGCCGAGGGGCAGGGTCTTCTATGCTGAAGGCCCGCCTGCCTCCTGGGGTCTCCCCTGACACCCTGGCCACCTTCCAGGCACTGAGTGTCAGCTAACAAGGGGCCTGTGAATTCCTAGGGAAACTAGGAAAGACACGGCTCAGAGCAGAGCTGGGGTGATGAGAGGCGATGGCGGCACTGGCTACCTCAGTTCACCCATCTGTACAGTCCACTGTCCCTAGGTTCCTTGTTTCCAGCTTTCCTGAGCACTGCGAGACAGGGGTTTAGGGGCCCTGGGGCAAGCCAGAGGGAGGACCTGTCTGGGTTTCCCCTCAGCAAAGATCGCCCCTGTTCTGGGCCAATTCAGCACATCTTCCGTGGCAGCCCCACTCCCACCCGGTCCAGATGTTCCCTTCAGAAAGCCCTGCCAAGCCGCGCTAACTCCAGAGACAGCTGCTGACCCCATTACCCTTCCCTGCTCCTGCCAAGACGTGCAGGCGGCAACCGCCTCCTGCTCCTGGGGATGGTAACCCTACATCACCCAGCAGGGCTGTGACCTGAGCCTCAAACCAGGCCCACCCTCGAGCCCTGTGGAGGATGCAGCGTGGGGGAAGCCGATTAAGATTTGGCAAAAGAGGCCTCCTCACCCAGTCTGGGCTGAGAGGAGCCAGGGAGAGGAAGCAGGAGGCCAGAGGCACGGACAATCCACCTCTGGCCGCCCAGCCACCGAGGAGCCTCCAGCCATGCGCTGGGGACAGCTCTGCTGGCCTCATGCCCCTGGGCTGGGGAGGAGCCCCAGGACATGCCCCTGAGACCAGCCCTGTCCAGGCCATGGGTGGCCAGCAGGCCTGGAACATGAAGGAGCACTCATGTGGGAAGTCCTCCCCCAGCACCTCCAGGACTTATGTGGGTTTCTCCTTCCAGGTCTCGAGTCCAGAGGTTCAGGCCCCTCACACCTGGCAAGGCCATGCTATAGGTCCCCCCTGTCTGGCACTTGAAGGTCTTCCTGCTCCCAGTTGGCCACTGGGAACCTCCACTCTCCTGAGAGACCCTCTCCCGATGCCTACCCTGCCCTTCCTCTCTCACCAGGGCCCATCTGTAGGTCCCAGGAACAGCTGGAGCCAGGAGGGGGAGTCTGGACTTGCATGTGGGGATAGGGGGCAGGTCTCCCCATGGGCCATCTGACCTTGTGGGGTGCACCCTAGGACCACCTTGCTCTGAGAGGGCAGCCCCCAGACACGTCCAGCTTGGACACCCAGAGCCTCTTACACACTCCTTACATACCGGCTGTCAGTGTTTGGGCCCTGCTGCCATCCTACAGGGCCTGGCAGGGCCCGGGTGTCTGAGTCTGAGGACTGTTCAGGACCATTGCCTGGGGCCTCCCAGGCACAGCCACATGGGAGCTCTTCTGAGCACCTCCGCATTTGGAGCTGACCAATGAGGATGCCGAAGCCAGAGGCAGCCTGGCCACACGAGTGGGCACCAAAGACCCCTGCTCCCCCACCCTAGGGATTTACAAAGACTATTGGGGCCTCCCACCCCCACCCCAAAAAGAGATGGCATCTGCATCCAGCATGGAGAGGGGCAGCCCCACAGATGGTGCAGCTGCTAAGACCCGGAGGGGTTGGAGGTCACACTGGGTCACCAAACAGTGAAAACCACTGGACGTCACTGCCTCCTCCCACCGTGGGGGGAGAAGGACTGTGGGGGGCGGGAGCCCCGGAGGGCTCACAGGGTTAGGAGAGCGTTCCTGCTTCTCACTCGTAATCTGGAAACTCTGCTGAAATCTGTCCACCTACCACCCGCGTCCAGCAAAGGGGCAGAGGAGTGGAGGAAGAGAGGACTGGAGACGCGAGCTTGGCCTTCTTGCCCAGCCAGAGAACTGGGGTGGGATGGAGAGTCTGCCCTGACCTTGCCTGTGAACGGGGGCCATTCCCTCTCAGCAGTCCCACCTTGGGGTCCCTGCCCAGGAGTAATGGGACGGGCTGGTTCAGGGTCCGCCTTCATCTCCCAATCTCTCACCCACGGGATGTCACTCAAGGACTTGAATTCTGACATCTGAGCTCCCATCCCCATGAGAACCCAGCAGCCAGACATCTTGAAAAGATCCCTCTGAGAAATGAGATTAGACCCCGTGTCCAGGAGGTGCTGGATGGGGGCCAAAGAATCTCCTGCTTCCAGAGCCCTGTTTATAAGGGAGAGTAAGACCCCAGCTGCATCTCACCCAACAAACTCAGTCTGGGAGAACCCGAGTCACGGAGGGGCCAGGCCGTCTCCAGTAGAACTACTGCCTTTCTGCTGCCCCCTGCCATGCAGGGCCCTGGCCCAGTGCCCACCATGTTCCCACTGGACTGTGACTTCTTGGGACCAGGGCCATGTCTGACTTCACTCGGTGTCATACAGCCTCCAGCTAGGGGTCTGTCTGACCCATGGTATGTTGGACACCTATTTGTGATGGTCTGAAACCTGTCAGAGGTAAGATCAGGGAAGGCTGCCTGGAGGCAGTGGTTCTGTGCTAGACCCAAGAGCTGGTAAAACAACACTGAAGGCTGATGTGGCCCAGACAGCATCTACGGCAGGAGGAGGGGAGACAGTGGGACCAGGGCCTGGCTTGTTGCTCACCTCCGACCAGGGGCTGGTGTACCACTTGAAGCAGGGTCTCTCAAAGCACGTGCTCTCCTCGGGGGGCTTCTTGGCCAGCCCACACTCAGGCCCACTGCGCGTCTGCGGCTTCCCGTTGGCTAGCTCCATGCACAGCACCAACCGCTTCTTCACGCCCCGCCCGCAGGTGGTGTTGCACTGAGGCAGGGACAACAGGGGGTCAGCCCCACAGGCTGCGAGCAGCACCCCAGCCCCAGGCCCGAGCGCAGATCAACGACACTTGGTAAGCAACAATTTGACCCTAAATTTGCTCAAGAGCAATTTAGCAGAAAAGACTGTTTTGAGAAGCAAGAGAAGGAACGGTCGATGACCACTTAGGCAATCGTGAGCTGGCTGGAATCAGTTCAGCCCTGAAGAAGCTGAGACAGTCGATGCCCTGGCAGCAGCTGGCTCCAGGTGGTTCGGTGGAGAGCAAGGTAAGGTGACAGGGAATCAAAGACCAGCAGGTGAGCAGGAAGGTAGCTAAGGGGAACCCACAGCTGACCCTCCACCGCTGGCCTGTCCACCTACAGCGAGTATGTTGGGGGCCCAGGGTGAGGACAGTGCCCACCCCTGACACATCCTAAAGTGTGGCCTGTGTTTACATGTAGGGAATTCTGTGGGTTTGTCCTGGTGTCACTGAAAATTAAACACTTGCCTGTAACCTCACCAGCCTTCCTTTGTGGGAGAAAAAAGAGGCAATTTGTCCTAAAAAGACCCACCATGGTGGTGGTCACGCTGGCAAGTCGGCCCCACCTCACGCCACCCCGCAGCAGGGCTATCAGAGGAGCTGTCCATCTTTCTCCCAAGAAGCAGCTGGTGGATTCAAACCACTTGTCTTTGGGTTGGCAGCACAGCTCTTTACCCTAGAAGCCACCAGAGCCCCTGGAAATCCCACAGGCCAGTCTGGCTACGTCCCCTACAGTCACAACGAGTCAAGGGCACAGGACTGGGGTTTCGGTTTGCTTTCTGTTGGTATTTCCTGATGAACTCTCATTTTGGCCAATTCGTTTTCAGTAAAATTCTCTCTCCAGCCAGTGGTCCCCGGTCAGGAAGGCAGCACTCACCCGCTCCCAGTCCTGGGCCAGCCAGTGCGCAGGGCAGTTCCTGTCCCCACAAGGGTGGATGGCCAGTGGCTTGGTCTCCATCTGACACTGGGACTCGGGCACCACCCGCCCATCGCTGGTCTTGCAGTACACGTGTCGGATCATGCGGCCCTGTCCACAGCTCCCACTGCACTACAAGGAGGAGAGGAGCCAGGTTCGAGGCCAGGCAACACCACACACTTCTCTTCCTACCAACATCCTTCCCAAGGGAGAGGAAGGGCTCCCTGCAGCATGTGGGAGGCGGTTGCTGTGGTAACCACATTTTAAATAACATATTTTTCTGTTCTAATTACAGAAATAATACACACTCGATGAAACACACATACAAAGAGAAACACAACAAGAGCTCCCCCGGGTACCCACCCCCCAGGGGCAGAACCCGAAGTTCTGAGAGATACACGAGATAAGGAGAGAGACAGAGATGGGGGAGAGACTCCAGGATGGGGAAGGGGAGTGACCCAGGGAGACACAGAAGGCGGAGGGGGCACAGAGCAAAGGCAGAGGTGACATGTGGGGTCTGAGAGCAGCCGCTTAGCTGTCCTTCCCCACGGCCTCAGAGGGTAGCTGCACCCCCGCCTCACCGGCCCCCAGTCGGAGACTGTCCACTGGCGGTCACAGGGCGGGCCTGTGCAGTTCTTCTCCTGGACAGGCCGGGTGCTGGGGTCACACAGCTTCTCGTCCTCTGAGCAGCGGATATCCCTGGTCACCACGCTCCGCTCCCCACACTTGGCTGGACACTGTGGGAATCGGCAGGGGTGCGGGGTCATCCCTGTCCCAGCAGAGGGTCCCTGTCCCCAGCCGACCGGCCAGCTCACCTCTGACCACTCGGACATCTCCCACTGGGGCCCGCAGGCCGGGTTCCGGCAGGTCTTGCGCTCCTCGGGCCTCACGGCCTCCGCTGCCTCACACAAGTCACTGTACACGGAGCTGTCGAAGCCGGGGGACAGCATCTTCCAGCAGCGCACGATGCGGAACTGGAACCCCTCGCCACACGTGCGTGAGCACTCGCTCCAGCTGCTGGTCTCCCACCTGTCGGGCGGGGTGGGGGGATGTGACACGCTGACCCCAGCAGGGCCCACCCAGCCTGGGTCAGGGGACCCCCAGCAGCCTGCTGGAAGACCCGGTGCTGACTCCCACCCCTCACACCCAGCACTGGGCAGTGAGGCCTTACCTGGGCTGGCACTCCCGCCCGGCACAGAATTCATGGACCGGCTCTGGACGCGTGAGGGCATCACAGTAGCTGTCGTCCACCTCAATGCCATCATAGCGGACGCACATGGCATACGTCGACATGACCCCTGGTTCAAAGTGGGCATCATACGATCAGCACTATGCTTCAGGAACCAGCGACTGTGCCGAGTCCCTGAGCCTCTGAGTCTGGATCACGTCTGGGAGAGCTTGTACAGACTTGTGTGTAAGTGCATTTTGGTGTGTGTGTGTGTATGTGTGTGTACATGTGCGCGCACAACACTGGGTCCTGGGATGATGGAGACAATGGGCACATCCTCAGGAGACTCGTATCTCCACTGTAAACACCACGAAAAGCTCAAGCCACCTCACTCTGCCTCTGAGTAGCCCCTCTAAGTCAGCCAGCTCTGACCCTCAAAATCCAGCCCAGCCTCCCAGGAGTCAGCCCTGCCCCTCAGGAGTCAGCCGCGCCTCCCAGGAGACAGCCCCGCCCCTCAGGAGTCAGCCGCGCCTCCCAGGAGTCAGCCCCGCCCCTCAGGAGTCAGCCCCGCCTCCCAGGAGTCAGCCCCGCCCCTCAGAAGTCAGCCGCGCCCTCAGGAGTCAGCCCCGCCCCTCAGGAGTCAGCCCCGCCCCTCAGGAGTCAGCCCCGCC